AGTCTCTACCCCCGTGACATTCAAATCTGTGTTTACCGAGAGGAGTAGTAACTTCCTCGCTTCATGCTGGCTAGATGTTCCTTCATTCTTATTCCGAGTGGTCTCCGGTCTCACCAATGTAAGTGGCACTGCAGTCTGTACATTCGATTTCATATATCACGCCGACTTTATTGCAGTCACTAACTTTACCAAACGGACATACTATGCAGTTTGGAACAATGCAGTAGTTGTCGCAAAGCCTGTTTCGTACTAGCCGTTTCTTGATGCTGTCACCTGAGATATTGACCAAAATGATATCGTCTTCCAAGTTTGCGCGCTTAATGCAACGTTGCAGCCAGGGTCAAGCGTGTTGATGCGATCCGGGACCCTCATTTACGACCCCCCCCCCCCTTGAAGGTACCCATCCGTACGACCCCCCCCCCTCCATCCCCCCTCCTCCCACCCTCCCCCATTTATCCCCCTTGCCTCCCCCGCCCACATTCCTCGCGGTAACCTGCATAAACGAATGTCAATCTCAAAAAACACCTGCGTGAGAACTTCAGTGAGGTTTCGGAAGCAGAATTTCTAGGCCAATGGGTGCATCCAGCATCGTAGTACACATACACACCTTCAGTAATGTTTGAGAATCTGCAAGCTTTTTTTTTGAATTTTCAGGCATACTTCAGACCAGCAAATTCGATTCCCGTAGGCGACACAAATTTCTGCATGGAAAAAATGACATTCTTGAACCACAGAAGAAGTTATCGACTAAGAAGCTTACTTCCTACCTTATCCACAGTTTTTCCCGCGAAAAAAACCGCTTAAGCGCCGTCCAGAACGACGTCAAAAACGTGCATGAGCACGGTAGTTTGAAAATTCGTAACTAAGGCCAGTAAAAGACTGAGAGGCTGCAAAGCACAGGTTCTGTAGTATAGTGCCCACACTATCCATAGAAAAAGTTTCAGCTTTTGAGGAGCAGTAAGCTCGAAAAAATTTAGATGCGACTCTCGCAAATTTAGATGCGATCCTAAAAAGCAAAAACTGGGATTTTTGAGCTCAAATTTGTAACTTACCAGAGAAGTTATAAAAAAGCCTGCAATTTTTACGAGGGAAAGTAGGAGGTTGGCTTCATATTACAGCAGAATTGCAGCCAACAAGCTTCAATAGCTCCGAAGAAATTCAGATGCGACCCAGATACGACCCCCCTTTCCTGATTTTTTGCTACCATAAATAAAATCATAAGAAAATCCACAGTCGACAAAATAATACCAAATTTTGCACTGATGTAGCGGAGCATCTTCAAAGTACAGATAAATTATATGGGTCCGTGAAAAACATTACAAAAAGATTTAGAAATTTATGATGGTCACAGCTGGTAAAGATATTCGCTTTTGTCGAGTGTGTGAGACTTCAGGAGGGCTTCAGAAGCAAGATTTCTAGGGCAATCGTTGCATTTAGCATTTTTATCAAATCATACATCCTTCAACAGTGTTTTGAGCTTTTGTAAATGTTTTTTTTTTGAGAATTTCTACAGATTTTTTACCTTATTTATTTTGATTTCCACTTTTTTATAGATTTATTGTAAAGAACATAACTAATTATCCTCTTTTTGATTCCCTTTTAAGCTTAGGGAATATTAGCTTAACTACCTTCTCTTACGACTCCCCCCCCCCCCCCACCTAAGGTACCCTCTTTACGACCCCCCATTGTGACAGTCGCATCACAAGCTTGACCCTGGTTGCAGCATAGCACTAGTTGAGTCGGAGACGAAAGGGAGGCAAAAAGGTATTTTATATTGATGCTGGTTGCTGTTGTTGGAAGTGAATGGTCTACCTCGCCCTTTTGGGTACGTGTAGCCATTCGTTCGAGCAATGTCCAGCGCCCTTCTTTGCGATTCCCTCCGCTCTTCTTCTCCTGTGCACACTTTCGTAGCTGTCTTGAGCATGTTATGAATAACGGCTCTTTTGACAGATGTTCCTTCATTCTTATTCCGAGTGGTCTCCCAGTCTTACCAATGTAAGTGGCACTGCAGTTTGTACATTCGATTTCGTATATCACGCCGGGTTTATTGCGGTCACCAACTTTTCCAAACGAACATACTACGCAGTTTGGAACAATGCAGTAGTTATCGTAAAGCCTGTTTCGTACTAACCGCTTCCTGATGCTGTCACCTGAGATATTGACCAAAATTATATCGTCTTCCAAGTTTGCGCGCTGTCTGTCTCTGTCAATCTCTGTCAAAAGAGCCGTTATTCATAACATGCTCGGAGTAGGCATCAAATCTTCAATCTCTTACCACTTTAGGCCTCTGAAGAAGACGACAAAGTCGAAACGTCAGGCCGCCACTAATAAATCGTACTAACCTCGCAACAGCATACTAACATACTAATCACATTACTAACTATGCCGAGGTTGAGGAAAGAGGAAACTTGGAAACTACTCATAGAACGACATGATTTTTTCGGAATTCACCAGCCCTCCTATTTCTTCCGGAAAGAAATGTGCGTCTAATTCCTGGTGCTCCATGATGTACAGGACAAGACTATCGAAAGATTTTTGCTGAAATCTACTAGCGGCAATACGCGCTGCTTTTCATATTTTTGAAGAGACGTTCGCAGAAAGTTTCAAGAATACTGAAATCGAAATATCATGGACATGCTGTAAATCGAAAGATTCACCTGATGAGCTGAGCACAATGCTTGTTTCAGATTCAGAAAATATTCAGTCCAAAGGAAGTTACGGCGAGTAGAATTTGGAAACGCGTGATTTTTTCAGAATTCATCAGCCATTCTATTTTCTTTGGAAAAAAAGCTGCGGCTACTTTCTAGCGCACTATAACCTGCAAAAACAGCACTATCGAAAAGTACATACTGGTTGGTACCTTTTGAGTTGGATAAGCGCTGCGTTACATTCTTGCGAAAGGACCTCCGCGGAAGAACTTGAGAAAACTGAAAACGGGGTATAGAAGACACGATGTGCGTCAGAAGATTCGCCCTGACGAGTTGAACATATGTCGCTTTCGGATTTAGAATATATTCTTTCCGGAGGGAGTTATAGCGCTGCGTAAATTGCGATATTCCGGGAATTTCGCGAAATTTCCGGAATTTCGCGAAATTACTGGAATACCCGGAATTCCGCAACATTCGGAATTTTGCACATTCTGTGAGTGGTTTTGTGTGTTTAGAAAGACTACTTCATTGAAAATTGGTATGTACTGTTTGAATAGAAATTATTATGTTGGCACATAAGTTTGCAACTTTTCGCGTAACTTTTTTCCTATTTTACGTAGCAATCTCATTTTGTGGCATCATGTAGACCGTGATCTAACAAGGGAACGATACTCAATGTCCGTGGCCTTCTAAAACGTGATTCATACCATTACACTCGTCTTCGAACGCTGATTACGAATCTGCTCTCCGTTTCTGCTAATCGTTTCCCTGAGAGAAATTATGGGAGAATTTTGAGCCAAGCTTGGCTGCTCAAGGGAAATATGGTCATTTGAACGGCCTGTATCGCGCCACTTTCTGGTCTAGTGGTTAGTGCAATAGCCTTATAAGTTGATGCAGGTGTAGGTTTAAACCCTTTTGTGTTTTTACTTTTACATTACCTCAATTAAGCTTGTTCGAGAAAATTTACTTGAGCTATGATCATTGGACACAATTTAGCGCAAATAGTAATCATTTTTTTCGGATTTCCACATTTTTTGAAGAGTAAAGGCGTTCACTTAGCTCGATGATGCGAATGAAGGTTAATTGAGGCAATGCAAAACTGAAAAACACAAAAGGATTCGAACTTGCAACTGCGTCAACTCATGGGGCTATCGCAGTAACCACTAGACCACAGTGCACCGGTAGAGTTGGCGCTCCGACCATATTTCACTGGGCATCCACAATCCGCGCGATCCATTACAACATTTTTGAAGCGATTAGCAGAAACAGAAATCAGATTCGGAATCAGTGTTCCAAGGCGACTATAATGGTATACATATCATCTCAAAAGGCCACGGACACCGAGTATCGTTTACTTGTAAGCTGCAAGTATGCGCAAACCGTTTGATTTTTGATAACGTAGTACAAAAATTCTAAGCAATTTTTGAAAACTGCTGAAAATCGAGGTTTCACGATTTTTTGGCAAACATATAGCCCTACGAAACCTGATTCAAGCATATGAAAAAGCAATTATAGGCAGCATGTAGCTGGAAGTTGGCACTTTGGAATCAGAAAAAGGAATGAAATTTAAACACAAATTAAGGTGGGGCGCCTTTGAGAAGTTGAACAAGTCAAATGCGTCAAATTTTGAAGCAATTTGTCAATAACTAAGCTGCGAAAAGTCAGAATTTGCTATAACTTTGCACTATAGGGTAATCCTATGCGTTAAACACGAATAGCATATTCATTTGTCGCTAAAATGAAATTCATCTTTTGATCTCACGAACGAGGCCTTTTCATGCGAAATGGATCTGATTTTTGTGATCAGCATGTCAAATAAGCCCTATTGGCCAAGTTTCAGCATAATCTGATGCATTCTAAAGTTTTTCCCATAGTACCGTAAACCTACCGTAATCCTCACATAAGATGGTAAAATTCGGCAAAAATGTGTGCATTAGAAGCTTACATCATATTCCTTATATTGCCAAAGAATGAATGCGCTACGTTCAAATAGACAAAAGTTATATAAAAAGTTGCATTACTTATGTGCCAACCTAATATTTCTTGAAAAAGTGTCGCTTGTCGCTTCGTAGAGTTTGTTTTGCTCTATCGAGACTGCACCTCACACACTGCTCGAAATCTTGCGGCAATGAAACAAGAAGCTATATTCTTTTTTTTCAATAGATATATTTCGCTTGTACACACTGCCCTCAACCTTGACATACGTAAGCACATGATCATATGATAGGACAATGCCTAGATGGAACGATAGCTGCCGGATCATTAGCCTTCTCAAATTCTGTGCTTTACAGATTTACTGAATCATGACTTGCCTTGATTCACGGTGAAAGTGCATTATTTTGAAGACTGTACCTGTATTCTGTATATCCGTTTCGCTTAGCTTCACTTTCGCTATCGCAGATCCTAGTGCAGCGTTCCGAACCTTGCTGCTCTTCTTTAGCTGATCCAGTTTCAAATGCTTTACGTCTGGTGTTGATTGATCTGTGAAAGAGCGGTATGAATTCGAATGCAAAACGTGCTTCGACAATTGGTTTGGGAAAAAACTCAACGAACCAGATGATTGAAGATTCAGGATCAGTTCAGGCTTAGGAGGGTGCATTGAACCGAGCGTTGGTACTACTAAAATTGTTGTTTGAAGCAGTCATCGGTAAGGCAGAATTCGCTATTGAAATGACTAGTAGCGAAGGGAATGTTTCACTTGGTCCTCTTGATACGCTCAATCCACTTCGCCATTGGTCAGTTTGTTAATTTGACCAATAGCGAAGTGGATGAAGCTGATCAAGCGGATCAAGTGTTGCGCGTGCCTAATGGAGTGAAGCGCGCAAATCAAATAGCTTCAGTAAAAATTCATTATGCGCGCCAAACAATTGTTTCTTTATCTTTAATTAGATATTCGTGATCATTGGAAATCTCCGAAGCGCGCAGTCGATCTCGATAATGGATCTAAATAACATATTCGTACAGGGCTTATCAAATGAAGTGTTGGGTGCACCAGCATCTCCATTCCCACGCTGGACTCTGCGACTCTTCCGCAGAACATGCTTTCTGAGCACATTCCCCGGAAGAGCGGGGAAAAGCGGATCCTCACTCGATTGGAAGCGATTAGAGAGCATGTTCCACGGGAGAGATGCAGAGTCCAGTGCGGGAATGGAGATGCTAGTGCAACCGACACTTAAGTTGATAGGTTCTGTAAAAGGACTCATATGATAAAATTTGTATGTAAGACTGCATTTGCCCTGCCTTGTCTGCGGATTTAACCTAGTTCTATAACAAAACAGGATTTCGTAAGCTAAGGTTTTGTTGGGATGATTCAGTTACCACAATTCGCCTTGCAAACGTCCTCTGAGCAGGAACGATGCTTTGGCATAAAACAGACACACTTCGCTGGTCGGCTACACCATTTTTTCACATAGGAATACCTCTCTACCCCACCTCTTCTATACAGCGATTCATAGATAGGGGTTCATCCCTCCACTTAGAGCCTAAAAAGATTAGTATGATGCTTGAAGTGCATTGCGCAAGTTTAGTGATGGGTCGAACAAAGCAATTTTTTTGAAGAAGATACGAAATTTAGAGAAAGAACCCTGATGGGCTTACAAGCAATTCGAAATTGATTTGGATGAAAGATTTTGGGAAGGAAAAGTGAATGAGCGTAGGGAATTCTAAGGTCTGATTTGAAACTTTTTTCCTGCAAAAAAAAATTTAATTCGAAGTATTACAAACGGAAATTGTCGTGTTGATGCACAGATAATACACAAAACCAAGTCACATGGCATCATAGCTCTCCTAACTTTTAGAGAGGGTTTGGGGTTTCGTTCGATACAGCAAGGCGGCACCTTTAGAAATACAAACATGAATTTTTAGTCTTGTATGAGCTAGTAGTCGAGAAAAGCAAATTAAATTAACCTCTACACATCCAATTTTCTTTGCAATTTTTTAGCCTATAAGGGAGATGCTTTGCTTTTATCCTAGTTCGGTGCAGGAATCAAGCATCAACCTGATGCCTTTCTCTTCTATTCACAATCCTGGAAAAATGCGGGAACCTTCATGATGATTGTGCTGAAAGCCAATCCGATCTGAGCGGCACTAGCGGCAGATAAAATCCTCATCTTATAATGGAGTTTGTCTTTCTTGCTTATTCCTGTTATTACTGAAACTTAGCTTTTCAAGGCGTATGTTGCCTAGTCTCTACTGTATGCAACATCTCTCAAAACCCACATTATATGATGCAAGCATTTGTCTCATAATATAATACCGGACAATTTTTGCTTAGAATGATAGGCTACGTAAACAACCACTGGAATCAATGTTTTTCTGCACCTGCTTTCTACAGAAAATGTCACAACTTTTAGCGGCAAAACGGCGGCACAATATCATTTTTGATACCTTTTATCCGTGCGGGGAACGGCCTTTGACTGCTTTCACATTGACCCCAAATTTCGGGAACATTTCCAGAACTAAACGAACGAATTAAACGCTAGCTGGAACTGTTCCCGAACTTTGCCATTAGTATGAACGCAGCTTTTTTTGCATCATTGCACATCATTGCGCTCTCCACAACATCTCAACTTACTTTTGTAAGTAATAGATTTGATAAATCTTTCAGGAATGGTTGCAAACAATGAAGCCCTAATCATGCAAGCTGCTCGTCAGTAATTTGCAATACATCTAATTTGACGTAGACCAATGCGAAAATGCAGTTTTTTCTCATGGGAGTGTCTAGTGAGAAGAAACTGCAACTATATCGGCGTCGACCGGTAGAAAGGATCGCGCGCTGACCTAGCGGTTGAGATAAAAATCTAGATTTTTCTTTTCTTCCTGCAAATCTTCCTTTCAAGAATTTTTCAGAATAAAAAGATTGATAGACTTCTTTCAATTTTATTCTATGTCGCGTAATGGTGGGGCGTCACAATGAACAGTTCGGACCATACTTCGATCCCCACCAGGCCTGCCAAGTCCTTTAACCTCCGGGGATGGTAGATTCGCACCAGAATAAGCTAAGCTTAGAGGATAAAATTTCTGACAAGGTAATCGGCCCACTATAAAAGACATGCACCCACACGCAGCTTCCTAGAGTATGCAGAATGCGTTTGGCGTGCGCCCGCCTAAACTATCAAACACGTCCATTCTTTTATCCTTTATCCTAGTTATACTCCAGTAACTGTAACTTTCTGGAAATATTATATTTATGTAGAAAAAATGTTGGTTCGTTTTATTTGCCCGTCGCTAAGCGGACTTTTTTGTACCAGTTGCGATCTTTTGATAGTGGCCTACCCAGTGATCGCTCACAAACTTAAAGGCAGTGGGTCGGCAGAATGAGACCCGTGGCAAGACAAGGTCACAGGGTAGGAGCCCCATAATGGAACCCATGGGCTAAAGTTCGATCTTTCTCTGCCACTTCTAACCCCCAAATTTCAAAGAAAAGCAGCGCTCATCTCCTGTTTTCTCCGAACCCGCCCGAACGAGTGAACGCGAAGCCCGTCATGGCGAAGACGCAGAGTCGTTGCGGGAACTCATGCTTATAGCATTGCGGCTGGCGCTCTGGCCGTGGAAGTCACTCGTCCATGGGGTGGGCGGGTTCGGAGAGGACAGGAGATGAGCGCTGCTTTCGCTTTGTAATTTCGGGGCTTAGAAGTGGCAGAGAAAGATCGAACTTTGGCCCATAGGTTCCATCATGGGGGCTCTTACCCTGTGACCTTGTTTTGCCACGGTCTCATTCTGCCGATCTACTGCTAACAAAAATGTTGCCACAAGCCGTACTCAAACTGCACCCTCTTGCTTCAAACGCAGTTGTTTAAACATTTAACCCAATCTGCACGATCCCATTCTTTTTCAGAGCGCATACGGTCTTGCTTATATGGCGGTCTGCAAGGGGATCGCTGGCGCTATTGATGCAGCGTTGCGGGGTGGTGGGTTTACCTTAGGCCCGCCTCAGATCACCTGAACTGACCGAGCCTGACTACAGACTGTGTAGAGTGCTGCATGCGAATGAGCATCGCGGAATATTCTGAAAAGGCCTACACCTTCTAGGCCTAGGGCACCGAGAGCCATAGACAGCAATGCTGATAATTTCTGTATCATCGACCAATGAACTCCATTTTTTATTAGATTGTTGCAGAAATGTTTTTGAATGCAATCAAGACCATCAGAATCAGTAAACTTTCGTAACCTAAGACGCACCTGCATATACTGGTATCGCAAGCGGGAAGAAAATCATGCGTCAGAAAACCAAAACTTCTTTTTGAAAAACCTCGTCTTGAAAGATTATAATTTATTTCAAGTTTTGTCTTCATGGCTGCTTATCAGCTTATTATGTAGATGCAAGCCAGTCGTATAGTCTGTAGAAAAAACTTCAAAACGAGAACAGGCCTTTTCGAGCATTTTTGTGTTAGGCCAGAAGGCCCCAAACCATGAAGATTTGGAATTCTTCGTACACTGAGTAGCTAAGTTTTTCTGCAAAAATTGCAAGCAAGATTGTCGACTCGAGCATACAGAAATAAGCGAAGCTTCGGCAATTGCTTTAATTATGAGGAATTTCGGAACACAGAATGCCAACAGCGGTATCTATTTTGGGGCGTCGATTTCTCGATTCAGTGGCCAAAGAAGTTAATGCAACGGAATTTCGACTTTGAATACAGCTATGCGAGATGCTGATGAAATTCTTACGAATGAAATAGAAGATTAAATTCACCATGGTCAGAAAGTACATGAGAAAAGCTTTTCCAAAGATACGCAGAATCTATATTGAAGAAGAAACTTTGGTAAGAAAATATTTGGAAAGTAGGCCTAGAAAAACGGACATTATTTTTGCAGCAGCCTAATATATTGCCTGCGGAATTCCGTAGGCTAAATGGCTACTCACTTCTGGGTATCTAATCACCCAAGGAGTGTGTGGTACCGTGCGCCAGAGGCAGCCAATCGGCATCTCCTTTCAAGTACCAACTCGTATGCATTGTACCTTGCTCGGTTCAGCTCAACCTTCCTTGTATAGAAGGAGCCACCGAATGTATCAAAGGTCCTCTCCGGTTCACAACGGGGCAACAATCTGTAAATAGGGCAACAATAGGGCATACCAACCATAATCGGTCGCGGGTACCCAAAGGATGAGGGAGAGTATGCGTCGCAAGCAGAGGAGATTGCACTCGAGCGCAAAAGCTAACCACGTGTAGATTCATGATGCCAATTCATTGCTTGTTTACCTACGAGTTTACATTCTGTTCTCATATTAGGCCGGTTCCGTGCTTATATCGATCACGAAACACTTCTTATGACTCCGTTTAAGGTGTCCAAGCAGGGACAGTGCGCTTTTCGCTCATGCATGGGGTAGACTATCATCCACTCTGAGACTGGGAGACTTGACGCTTTGCACAGGTATGATCGAGGGAATATTTTTTGTTCTTTAACTTGTTTGATTGGTCTACTAATACTCAGACAAATGTCGTTCCGCCGGGTCATTTGCGGAGGTTCCGTAAATGTGCTGCGAAAGTTCCGGAATGAGGTCCTGCAGAAGTTTCGAAGAATGCCAACCACAACAGCTAAAAAGAACACCGAAGCGAGATTTGAACCTCACTCTATTGACTGTGAGACCCACTTACTATC